CCGTTACGTATATATTTTCCTATAAATATTGAATATATTTTCTTGCTTATGTAATAAATTAACATTTTTTTGCATATGTAGCCCCACCCACTTCGGGGTCTGCGGGTATCTAAAGACGGCACTTTCCTGGACCTTGTGTCGTTTATTTATTTATTGCCTGTAGTCAATTTAACGAATTTATGATTAGCATAATTTGGTTGAAAGCTATCAAATAATTAGTTTGTGTAATCTGTCCTCGCTGTCTGAAAGGTGATTGTCATACACGAGAATTTATTTAGTTATATGGTTATAAAGTGCAGTGTGTATCGGGTTTTATTAACACATGTGTACTTTGTTACAAGAACGTAGGACAGGCTGTCTGTAGTCACTATTGGCTTCAAATAAGGGGTGAAAATTTACCGTTAACTTTTAATAAAAATTACACTTCGACAGCTTAATTTACAAAATAACAGTTATTATACATACAATTTGATATCATAAATAGCCTATCATCCACTACTATGCCTGTCGTATCCCAACTGGCCTGATGAGGCCTGGTATTGCCGAAAGGCCTCGTCGGCACTGGTTATGGTAGATACATTCTGGGGGATACCTGATGCTTTACTTTCCTAAAATCTACAGTTCACGTGACATAGTCAAGGGTTTTGTTATAGTTTTAAGAGCTAGTTGTAACATTAGATGTGTAAGTTTTTTATCTTCTCTCATCTTTCTGATTCTAGCAAGAATAGGATCTCTGCTGAAAATATAATAAGACATTTTTTTCTTCTGTGTGTTTGAGTCATGACAAGACTAATAAGCATGTGTAAATCTACAGCTGTCACATACCAGTAATTGTTGACGTTCAACTCTTCCAGTAAAAAAAACAAAAGGATAAGAGTTTAAGAACGTTTCGTCAGAATCATATGAGTCAGTAGGAGTACAGCGTTTGTCGTCGCTCTTCATGCGCTATACTTATTATCATGACTCATCAACCAGGTTAGAGCTTTCGCGTCCATAAACACGTTACCCTGGCAACGTTACTTTTTTTTTGCTCACAAACGTGTTAACAGTAAAAAACGTAAAAAAAAATCCTGTCCATAAACATGTTACCTTGGCAATAAAACAGAATTATGTTATCAGAACAACTCTGGGCTTTTATGGGTTTTTTTTTAATCGCATGCGTGTGTGTGTTTCATTATAGCAAAGCCACATAAGGCTATCTGCTCTGTCCACCGAGGGGAATCGAACCCCCGATTTTAGCGTTGTAAATCCGAAGACTTACCGCTGTTCCACCGGGGGACTTAATCGCGTGTACGCTTTCAGTTGTTAATATGAGAAGATAAAATTAAGGGAATTTGGCCAAGTCGCGTATAACAAAAAATTACAGCATGTTTGGATGGCCAGAGTTAAATTTGTGGAAGTGAGTGGTGTATATGTTTTGACCAGAGTTAAACTTTGGAAGTGAGTGGTGTGTATGTTTTGACCAGAGTTAAACTTTGGAAGTGAGCGGTGTGTATGTTTAGACGGCCAGAGTTAAATTTGTGGAAGTGAGTGGTGTATATGTTTTGACCAGAGTTAAACTTCGGAAGTGAGTGGTGTGTATGTTTAGACGGCCAGAGTTAAATTTGTGGAAGTGAGTGGTGTGTATGTTTGGACGCCCAGAGTTAAACTTGTGGAAGTGAGTGGTGTGTATGTTTG